GCAGATATTTCCAGCCTTTGAAACCTGCTTTCTGGTCTGTTTTCGACCCAAATCTCACTGCCCATCGGGATTTCCGAACCCTCGCATCCCCCTACTTGCCTTCTTGCATTTTCAGCAGCTCAGCAGTGGACGGTGTTGCTATATGAGTCATTGAATGGCAGCACTAAACAGTTTGTTCTCAAGACAGAAATCACAAAGCATAATTATAACACTATCATTTTGAATGGTTACATATGAGCTTTTCACTTGACAATTTCGTTGGACCTCATCTCTAATGAGATCGCTTGTAGTTACTGTGATGTGACTGATTATTGTGTCACTTAAAGGCCACCATAAGCTTTGTCATTAATAGGGATGGATAAAACTTAATGCTACTGTCACAACTGTCAGCAGAATTTTTTAATACTTAAGTACTGCCCTAGATAAAGCACCCACTACCTCCTACATGGATGAAACAAAAGTCCCAGGAAGGTATTTATTATTTTCCATTTTAATAAAAAGTTCCTTTATTGCTGATACAAACTGAGAAGGGAATAATATAAGAATAATAACAATAAGAAGAAGAATTTCAGTGAACCTGACATGATTCCTCTAATGTCTAACTCATCAATGAAGTCAAAAGAATGTGTTATCTTTGTCTGAGGGTCTCTCTGCTGGACAAGCTGCAGTGGGAAATATTATTTACATGTTCTCACACTGGGGGAGCAGTGATCATAAGCTCTGTCACTCACTGTTTTCTGTACAAGGTAGCATTTGGAGAGATATAAGAACCGCCTCGGTATATTATATAACATCACTTGAACTTTAGTTTTGATGATTTTAAGGGGATGTGTTGAATGCTTTTGCAAATAATTCTTGTGTTTGTTTTGCTCTGTGTGTATTTGCTCTGAGTGGTAAAATGGGCTGGTTTGTTAAGTCATAAGGCTTGTGAATGCATAAATGTATATTAAAATGTCTCTCAGTTGATTTACTGATTGTGGTAATAATGTGGCAATCATTCCATCCCTCTCTGTTGCATAGCCCACCCACATGGGGCTCTGAAGAAGATCAATCAAATGCAAACACTGTTAGATGCAGGTCTGCTTTGCAGTCATCAGTCCTAAGTAAAAGCTGTCACTGAGCCTATGTCTTGCATTTGACCTGATATCGTGTCAAATACGACAAAGATACCAGCACGCACTTTGTTACAGTCCTTGTTAAATACTGTTAAATATCATAGTTAGGGGGCAGAGGGCAGTCTCCCTACCCCTCCCCATCTCTGATCTAATAGCCCCATGGGGAGAAGCTTAGCCTGTCCACTTCATGTTTCCCATTTGGTGGTTAGAACCCTGATGGGGATGTTTAAGGATAGGAAACCTTAACGCCCCCATTTGTTTTCCTGTAGGTAATCGATGGCAGACTCAGGGTTACAGCTAATGTGATTTATGTGTCCTATTTCCACTGTTATGCTTCATGGACAAATTGTCTTTGGTGATGTAAATTCCCCAATCTTTTCACAACTTGCTGACACTGAATCCTGGCTGCCAAACCCATGTAATTAATCCATGTTTGTGTCCATTGCCCCCCCCCCCCCCCCCCCGACTACTAACAGCTGCAAATCATGACATGCTGAATGTCGTGGCACTGAAACTTGTTTCTTTACTTAACACTCATCTGTATGAAGAAGACAAATGCAGAGACAAAGACGGACACATTTCCCCTGCATTCCTTGTCAAAACATGGTGACATGTCTCATGAAAATTCTAATTGGCCGGTATTTCTGGATTTCAAGTGACACAGCACAGTGACATTAATGACGCCTCACTCTTGACTAATATGTAAATCATCTGCAGTCTAAACACAAAGGAAATCAAATCAGCCAATTCATTCAGTGATGCAAACCCTTGTAATTATGCCCCTATCTGTGGCACTTAGGTATACATTAATATCTATCTCAACTCCTCTGGGGAAACAACGATGAAATAAATATGTAATTTTGTTAGAAAAGTGCATGATGTGCTTAAAAGTTGCACAAGAAAATGTGCATACAGTACTGTATATGCAATAGATTTTTAAATAGATTTCTTGCAAAAATACAAAGTCAAATCTGTTAATAGTATAGAATAAATAGAAGAAAATAGGAACAATGTACGGTCAGAGAGGTGATATAAACAGTAAGCACAAGGGGGGGAAGGAAGAATAGGCTACTGATTGAATCAGAAATTGCAATCAGCCAAAAGGAGAAACTGCACTTGAAAGCCCAATTTTGTTTTCACTCCAACAGCAATGTTTAGAAAATATATTTTATGCGTTATTTAAGCTGAGTTCAAGGTGCAGCTTGCAGTGTTGAATTTCTCCCATGATATCTTTTCTGACAAGATGAGAAAACATGTTTCTCAAGCTGCTGCACTTGGTTGTCAAGGGAACATTTCTGAAAATGGAGTGTGCTATGAGAAAGCATGCTCAAATATTTGCATAAAGGCAAATACCACATTTAAAGGCTAAGAGATCCAATTGAGCGTTTTATTTTTCCAAACAGAACCACTTTCACTACAACTCTAAAAGCCAGGATGAGAAAGCCACAGTGTAGCCACTGCATGGCTTCCTTACTTTGAGTCCTCTGATTGTTTCCTGTAGGTGCTTTATGTTGTAGTGTATGTGGCGGCATTCTTTATCATTTGCTATCTGTTGTGTGTTAGCCTGCCTGGAGCTCAACAGTGATGATGTAGTGTCCCTTTCCAGGAGCCAAGGACAGTCCTCTGTACGAGGCTGAGCAGAACCTGATGGACAAAGGACCAGAGAGCAGGACAGACAAGACTCCTGGATGTATTTTAGGTGGCTAAAATCTCATATATCAAAAAATATAGCCTTGTGTTGGTATAACAGTATAATTACATTAATCAGGACTGAGAATTTTGACACAAACTAACTGTAAAAAAACATAAACCTGTGCATAAATCAGCTTCATCTAAAAGAGACAATACCCTTAAGGGACAGTGATGTTATTTCCTCTACGCTCATGAATTATAATCACACAGTGAAGGAAGACAAAAGGGGGAATGCTGAGCATGTATAAATGAAGATATTCGAGCAGATGTGATTCAGAGTCCGAGCCCAGGTTAACTTCCCTTTTTAATGGAGAGGTTAACATAGTCTCGGACTCCATTGTATACCACAAAAGGCATGTAAATGAAGGTATAAATTATAGATTACTGGATGAGATGTGGGAGGAATAGCAAAGTGGATGATAGAGGTGCTGTATCAATCTCCCATACTGATTTTAGGGGGAGTGAAACTATTAAGATCACAGGGCTGTTCCCTTGTGGAACAGACAAGCCATCCACTCATTTACATTTACAATTCAGGCGTTTAGCTGATGCTGTTACCCAGAGTGACTTTGAGCAAACGAGTGAGCGGGTTGCAGTTTAGAGTCTGGCTCAAGGACACGTGGCTGTTAATGGCAGCACTGCTTGTCATGGGGATCAGACCTGTGACCTTTCATTACACAATGATTTTTCTAACCAGGAGGCAACGATCTCTAACAATCTGTTAAATGCATTGCAGTAACATTTCAGCACCAGTTGGTATTCATTTGAAGCTTGTCATGTGTTTTATAAAGGCTAAAATGAAAACGCTGTTTAGGGAACACAAACTTTACAATTTGCAAAGTAGGATATAATTCATCTCCCAGCTGGTCATGTCTTGATTATGGTCGATAAATCCAGAGGAAATAGTCAATAAGTAAGCAGCTTGTTGAAAGCCAAACGGCTGTTTCACTTGACTTCATAATTTTTCAGACATGAAGCTTCCATATGCTTCCATGATAAAGGCATGATAGAAGTCATAAACAGCCATGATGGCCGCTGTCAGCTGATCCACAGCTGGTAAATCTGTTATCATATCCATTCACAACTGCAAAAATCTGCATGATTGATTGAAATTATGTTTCGCTGTCATTACACAGTTGAAAAGTGCAGCCACCCTGCATTGAAAACCAATACATTTGACTGTTCAGTAACGGCATTTCATGAAGTGAGCGGTAAATGGCTTCATACTGTAGTAATGAAAGCAGTTGGGTTCCTCTGAGGAAGGATTATCGCTAATTGGCCCAGCTGGATAAACAGAGCTAGCTGGTGTTAGCATACTGCATGGCAGAGCAAACACACCAACCTTTTCCTACCTTTATACATTTTTGCATGAGTATTATCTCCCAGCCCCAGGCATTATTACATCTCAGAGGATATAAATGTTCCCTTGACATTTAGTCCCAACCCTACACATCTCCTGCTCTTATTTTTTCTCTTCTCATCATGTCACTCTGCATCCTCATCTTGTTGCCCCCCCCGCCCGACCTTTCTTCTTATTCTTCGCTCTCTCCTCATCTGTACCTCCCCTTGCCCCGCATCTCTTTTGGTCTCTGGTCCCATCTCAGGCTCCTGATTCACTGCTTTGTCAGTAGATCAATAGAAAGGCTTTCTGTCAGGAGGAGCCACTGCACGCCTCACCCCGGTCCCCCCCCCATGTCTCCCCAGACTGCAGACACACAGCCTGCTGGGAAGCTGGCTTTCTACATCCCATACTGGAGAGCATCTCCTCTCCCCCCACCTTTTTCTCCTCTCTGGATCACTTTTCATCTCCGCACCTTGAACCACATGGAAAGGAAAAAAATGCACGGTGCCTTAATGGGCTTCTCAAAGAAGCCAGGAAACCAGGGCTGTTTCTGGGAGCCAACAACGAAGCCAACAACGAAACAGCCTGAGAAAATAGGATATCAGCACAAGACACAATGTGAAAAGAAGAGGGGGATGTGAGAGAGAAAAAAAAACGGGTGAGAGAGAGAAGTTGTGCATTTAGATAAGCTGCAAAAGGCTGCCCCCCCACACACACACTTACCCAACCCCCGCTTTTCTCCACCCCCTGGAAAAGTGTTCTGTTCCTCTCTCTCTCTCTCTCTCTCTCTCTCTCTCTCTCTCTACCTCTTTTCTCTCTGCCTGGCTCTGCAGCTGTGGTCTGCTGAGCGTCACCTCCACACAGCAAGTGCCTTTACTTGAGCAGAAGAGGCAGAAGGAAGAGGAGGGTGGTAGCGAGAGAGAGAGAGAGAAAGAGAGAGAGAGAGAGAGAGACACACACACACACACACACACAGAAAGAAAAAGAATCCCGGGAGTGTGTCTGAATGCACCAGAGGAGCATCTCTCTGACTTCGCAGAGAGGGCTGAGAAGGGCACAGAGACAGTCGGGCAGAGGCAAGAGGCAGGCAGCGTTGGAGTATCACAGCGCTGGTGGTGCTGGCAGAGCATGCTGAGTGGAGACAGGGGAATCCACTGGCGCTGTTGATCCTGGTGTCCCTGGCAAAAGCTGCTTGAGCAGGAGACAGAAAGCGGCGCAGCAGCCAGGACCCCGCCGGGGGGGCAGCGTTTACAGCGACAACGAAGCGTGGAGACAGCTGATACCTGCACATACACACACACGCACACAGAAACATACGGGAAAACACACATGCACACAAACACACAGCTAAGTGGGGAAGGTGAGTCAGATACGCTGCATTCAAAAGATTAGCTGCAACCTTCTTCTTCTGAAACACACAAACTTACACAGGAAAACAGATACTAAATGTTTTGTTTTCTTGTCCGTGGATGGTGGATGATGGAGAGGAAAACTTCTGGAGAGGAAATTCTCTTTTAAGCAGGACTGCAGAGATTTTCCCACTAAGAATAACTTCCTTTTTGGGGGAGTTGGAGGTTTAAACCCCCTATCTAAGCACAACACAAAAATAACCTCTATTCTTAGTTGCAGAAATTGAGAGCGGTCTTTGTGACCATTAAGATGCCTCATCCTGATTCAGTCTGAGCAGTAAGTGGATTATGACGGCAATATTTTGGGATTTCTCTTTTGCTTGAAAAGAGAGAGAGAAATATATCCATGACTGGTGGATTTACGTCTGTCAGAGAAGGAGAGGATCCCGTGCGTTTTCTCCTCTCTTCTGTGGATTACAGATGGGCTTTGTGATCCTCCAGTGCAGTCTCATGGATGATCGCTCGCTGCCAGTCATTAGGATAAAGTACAAAGAGGGACACAAGTGAGTATTCAGCTGGATTTTTATCTCTGAAGGCATAAAGCTTGTATGAAAACAAGGGTGTCGGAAGTGAATCTGTAATGAGAACACATTGTTGCTTTTTTTCTCTTTTAATAACAGAAAATGGGACTCTTGATTGATTAAACTGCTGTGTTGTGTGTAATGAATGATTATCAGGGTGTAAACGGCAAACACACCTTGTGAGATTTATTATTTTTTTTTACAATAGTGAACCTGTATGTTTACAGACCATTTGCCAATGAACATAATTTACTAAATGAGGGGTACTGTCTACCCGGCAGGTGGCTTGGGCTCGAGTGGAGATTGATTGAAGTGATCTGTGTGAATCCTATTAATGCATCCTGGATTCTGGCCAAGGCAGAAGCAATGGAGGGGAACACCGCTGTCTAGCAGCACTATCTGATCTGCCTCCTCAGTGGACAAACTGAGTGCCCTCTGCACTCTCTCTTCAACAACACTCCTCCTCCTCTTTTCACCCAGGCAAGGATGGTACCTCCACCTCCCACCAACAAGCCCCACGTGTGCCTTTCCACCATCCTGATCATGAGCAGCATGGCGCTGATTGATGCCTACCTGGTAGAGCAGAACCACGGACCACGCAAGATTGGCATCTGCATCATGGTGATGGTGGGAGACATCTGCTTCCTAATTGTCTTGCGTTACGTGGCGGTGTGGGTGGGTGCTGAGGTACGCACAGCTAAGCGAGGCTACGCCATGGTCCTCTGGTTCCTTTATATCTTTGTGCTGGAGATCAAGGTCTACTTTGTGTATCAAAACTACAAGGCAGACAGAAAGAGCCTGGACGCTCTCGCAAGGAAAGCGCTGACGTTGCTGCTGTCCATTTGCATCCCAGTGCTGTTTGTGGTGTTAGTTGCTATCGACCATATGGAGTATGTTCGGGCCTTCAAGAAGCGCGAGGAGATCCGTAATCGCCTCTTCTGGGTGGTGGTGGACTTGCTGGACATACTGGACATTCAAGCCAACCTGTGGGAGCCTCAAAAAAAGGGGCTTCCTTTGTGGGCGGAAGGCCTGATGTTCTTTTACTGCTACATCCTGCTGCTCGTGCTGCCCTGCGTGTCCTTGAGTGAGATCAGCATGCAGGGCATCAACATCGTGCCCCACAAGATGCTCCTGTACCCCATCCTCAGCCTGGTCACCATCAACATCATCACCCTCTTCATCCGCGGGGGGAACATGATTCTGTACAGGGACGCCAGGGTATCCGGGATCCTAATAGGAAAGAACGTGCTGGCCATCATCCTAAAGACCTGCAGCTTTGTGCAGTACCGGAGACAGTTGCAGAACGCTTCTCCTGCCTTTGGGGTGGAGATGCAGAAAAACTCGGTGGCCCACGCTCGCCCTGCCCCCACTCCCCCTCAAGTGGTCATGCAGGACCAGACGCCCCTCCCTGAAGTGACAACGTGCGAACACACATGACAGAATGGTGAGGTGAATCCTGGAAATGTCAATATGAATATACATGACCCTCAGGACGCTGGCAGGGCACAATGTTCCACACCTTTTACGGCAGTGAACACTCACATGAACACACGGGAGATCATGATTTCCACCGATGCTTAATGGCACACGAGACACTGCAGACACTTAGCAAGGATAGAGCAGTGCTGTATCCAAAGCTGCCATGGTGCAAAATACAGTATAACTTGTAACTTTGTTAAAGCATTTCCCCCAATGAATTCAGTTAACTGTGTATTTTTTCTAATCGTACAAAAGAAAAAAATGCAACTACTGCAAGATTAGAGGATATATTTTTGAATTGTGTGTGTTGCATTCTAATCTTAAACTTAAGGGTCTGTGTGCTGTTTGTGTGTATTTCTGTTGCTCGAATGTTTTTAGTAGTCGAGGGCTTTAACACAAAGTCAGTGGGAGCAAAGTAATGAGAATGAAAATAACAGTTAAAGCTTTCTCTTCAGAGAAGTGTGTTTTTATATGTGATTCTTTGATAAAGTATTGTGTACAAGATAAAGGCTTTCTCTTTCACTGGATGTCAAGGGGTTTTTCATGAAATAATTTAAAGTTATCAGGTCAATTCAGTATATTTCACTTCTTAATTAAAATTCAACAAATGTCCTTTAATTAACCTGGGTTACAAAAGAAAATAGACAATGATTTTCTTTCGCGCTGGTTCTATCTACAATTAGAGACTACTTAATTGCTGAAGTTGGTGCCTTTGCAATGTCACTCATCTTGAGTGTGATTGTTAAATTCCAGGCTGCTTATTTTGAGTGAGGAGGGGAGCATTTGAAATAAATTCTCTGTGCAGTTATGAACAGTTCGATCACTGCAAAGGATGACTATGGTGCTGTAGTCATAGGACAGAACACACAGCCATGAGGCAACACTGCAGATGGATAAATGATTCCCAAATAAGGAAACCTGTTTTAATATCCTCCTCAGGCACTGACTGTCTGTGTTTGTGCTTAGTGGCAGATCTATGTAAGCACTGTCATTTTTTTCTTCACATGAAAGGACAAAATGGATACTTTGGTCCAGTGATGGGAATCCAAACAACAGCCAAGAAAACATCGTCTTCTAATGTGACAAATCTCTTTCTGTCTGGAGCAATCTTTCTTCTCACCATCACCACCAGTTGAGTGAGAGCAGAGGCTTTTTAGTATTTTCCCCCCCCCCCCCCCCCCCCCCCCAAAAAAAACAAATAAACAAACACACGAAAACCTCACAGAAGGAAAGCCACTGAGAAATATATTTGCGTGACGGAGGATTTTTACTGGGTGACGTAGGGTGATGTAAAAAAGCAAATAATATACTGAAATACTGTCAATGGTGCCTCAGTAAAAAAAAACTTCAAAATTTTTACAATAGGTTCTTTCTTTTATACTCAGGTTACTTTCCTTTGCATAATGTCTCTCTCACCACTGACTGCTTGCATAATTTAAAGCAGACTGTCTGTCCACATGCAGAAGCTGGTCCAACATTTTCATCTGTGCACAGCTAGAGGAAGGTGGCAACTTGGTTATCACACTAAGACTGCTGTAGCCAGCATTATTTGTCAGTGTTGATAGCTTATAAAGTTAGTAACATCAGCAATTTAGACACAATAATATACTATTGGATTGTATTGTTTTTACAGAACTGTAGCAATGAGAGGAAAACATTATAAAGTTATACTGAATGTGCTGAATGATGAATTCAGTTGATGAACAATGAGGAAATGGTTCTGCTGAAATGGGCTGCATAGCAGATTTGATTGTTTGACAGACAATGTAAAAATTCGGACAAAAACAACACCGTTATAGTGTGCTCAAAAATCAGTATACAAAGGTGTGTAGTTTGCACACAATACTTACAAAAGAAGGCAATTCAAGTCAGTATAAATGTGCTTCAGTCTAATTAGTCTAGTTAACCCCGCACGTGTCCTCCCATCTTATAACCTACTGTGGGTAGGCTGCGCACAAGGTAATTCTATCTTAGGTTAAATAAAAGTCTACTCCCCCTTTTAAAGCAGAAACAACATACAATTGGCAGTCCATAGTTTTTAACAGCTGGAGCTGTAGGTAAAAGCAGAAAATGCCGATGAGAAAAATCTCTTTAACAGTTACCATTCAACCAGCAACAGTTGGTTTATATAAGGGACATTACTATTCTTGCATAATTGTATAGGACCCTCTTGAAAAATCAAAATTCAAATTCATAATTGCAAAATACATGTATATGAACAGATTCCAATTCAGGATCAAAGAAGGTCTTACTTCTATTCCAGCCCGCAATGTATAGAGGGCAGGGAAACACCCTGGACAGGTCAGCAGCCCACTGCAGGGCTAACAAACAGACAAGCACACTCTTTTTCTATTATTTCAGTCTCTAGTTCAGTGACCTGCAAAAAAGAGGAAAAAAGAGCACCAATGGAAAACAAAGAACACAAGGAGCACATTATGCAAACTAATGATAAAATTCAAACCCAGTTCACTCTTGCTGTGATATGGCAACTGAACCACTGTGACACCCACATTTTCATTCATTCTCAAGTGCAGTTTAAATGTTGGATAGGTAATTCAGTTATTTTACGTATTTTAAGTATAAAACACACATAAGTGAAACAGTGCATTTGTATTTGAAGTTATGTATTTCCTGGATGCTGGGTGAGTTGCCATGAATGCGACCAGATGATCTACTACAGTCCCACACCAAACCACACAGCTGGAGAAAGTCTTTCTGGCTCTATCCAAAAGCCTTAACTCGGTGTATTGTATGTGGATTCTTTAGTCTGTTAAATCAAACATGAGCAGAATATCAGGCAGCACACTGTATCTAATTACTCTACTATTACAAGATCTGATGTACATATCTGGCAAAATGTATAAAATGGCATCACTGTTCATCAACATTTGTTTAATCTGTTTTTAGTATGAACACAGCGCTTTTTATGAGCATACAACTAATGCTCACATCAGTATGTTTCTATCATGTTCAAATGGCTTTAAGAACAAAAAGATAGCCACAAGTATGCCTTTAGGCAGTCACCCAACCCAATCTACCCACACGCTCCCACCCTACTGCAAATCACCCTTAACGCACTGCCAGATCCTGAATGAATGTTGCATTCATCCAGATGACCATGTTTTTTTTGCTTTGCACTCTTGAATGTTAATAAACTGGGAAGGCTGTTGGATGCACCTCCACACTTACCACATTAACACTGACAAAGCGGCCTGTGCCAAGCAAGCAAGACAAACGGCTGCAGTAAATTCACAGCTCGACCTTCGGCAGTCTTGGACGGCAACAGAGCCGAGAAACAAATGTATTTTTCATGGAAGGTGTGTTAGGGCACGAGGAGAACAAACTGGTACAGAAAATGAATGCTCATCAAGTATTGATTCTCTTGTCTGGAGGGTAAATATTATACATATTTAAAAATCACTCTCTAAAAAAAAAAAAAAGGTGTTTTTTTATTTTTTAGATGAAGCAGAGAAAAGAGTGTGATACTTCTGAACTGAGTGTATTTGATGCTTCTCTATAATACTTTAACTTGCAGTGTGCATCTGTCAATAAGTGAAGCAGTCCGTTCACGTGATAATGAATGCTTTAATCTAAAATTCAGATGCTCTGCGCATAAGCAAAGTAGAGAAAGGTCAGAAAGTTATTCTGCAAAGTTAGAGACTCATCCTATTCCTACTAAACATTCTATACGTACGCAGATTTTCCAAGGGCATGCACATTAGCTCTGGGCAACATTTAACATCCTTGAACAATTTTGCTGAACCGCCGCAATTATCTATTCCTCAGTCAAAACACTTGTGCTACTTATCTTTTTTTTAGTGCACTCAATCACCAAATTACAGCCAGTGTAATTGCAAAACAGTTTCCTCACATATACCCTTTAGACATGCGTCTATGCATTTTATGAGAGAAGATCTGAGCGCAGAGTTGCTATTTGCAGCTCCCCTGTAACAGGAAAGGTTTATCTGTCTTGCTCATGCACAGTTAGGCGAGGATTAACAACAGCTGTGAAGTGTGAACTCTGCAGAGGATCAAGCCTGTGACTTGCAGCTACAGTATGATCTTTCTAATAATCAGGTCACTCTGCTGGACTGCCAGCAACTTTCAGGCGACCCAACAGGGAACCCAGGTGTCGGAGATGAGAGCCGGTCGCTCCTCTCGCTGTGAAGTGTTGAATGTAAGTGTGAATTATGGAGAGGTGTTTCAATATTTAAACTTGTTGTCAGTTTCTTGAGATTTAGCATTTAAATCTGAGCTATTTTGTGGGGTGGTTTTCACCTATAAAATCTTTAGATGGCTTATGATTATTTCTGTTGCTTACAGGGCTTTTCCTCAGGCACCCATTTATTTGTAAAGGTGTCGAGACCTAAAAGAATGTTTTCTCTGTGTTATACCTATTATTAAAGGAAACGTTGATTTCTACACATATCTGTGCAGCCCTTTCTCACTCCCAACGCATCAAATCCTGCAGCATGGTCTGTGGCTGTATACTTCAAACTATGACACTATAGGTACGCTCATTTCTGGAGGCGCCCCTCTAGCGTAAAGTTTTCATGTGCTGTTGAAGTCAGGTGATGTATAAAGAGCAAGAAAAGTTTGCAAAGGCAGGAGGTCGGGGTGGTTGGATGAGTCAGGTACATGACTTTTGCCCAGGAGACTGCTTTTTGTGTAAAACCAATAGTCAACGTTAACTTTAACTTAAGTTATGTAACTCAAAGCTATGGTAGGGAATGCTGCCGAAACTAGCAGGATAACTAGATTTTGAAAGTATAAAACCAAAAAATCCCACCCACACACATGTGCAGTGAGTGCACAAACAGAGGCAGGTAGAGACGTAGGTAGGCCAGCCAATCATTTCAATAGGAAGAAATTAAATGATTGGTCGTGCTTATTACAGTCCTGTGACAGCCATACATACTGGATATTTTTCATTTTACCTAAACAAGAAGTTTTGGTGCCTAAACCTAACCAAACTGTGAGCGTTTCACAACTTTAACCACATCTAATGTTAATCATTAGATGTGGTTAAAGCAGCTAATGTTGATGTGTCAATATTACTCGTAAGCACCTTAAGCACATTGAAAGAATATCTATTTAATAAACAGGCTTTCTTTTAAACACAGCAGCAAAATATTTGTCATTACAAACGCTTGGCCCCTCACGGTTTCACTCATTTTCTCAGCCTTATTTCCTATAATAATAAATTATGGAACTGGGTTGGTATTGCTGGAACTGCACTCAAATGGTTCTCCTACTCCTACAGACACTGTTCACATTTATATTTATTCGGTTTTCAAATTATAATTATAAATACTACCCTGGGATCTTCTTCTTAACTGCTCCTGTGGTGTCTCTTTGCTATGCCGATGACATGCAGCTTCACTTCTCAGTTAAACCTAATAACCTAAAGAAATACCACCCCTCATGACTGACTAGCTTCTATTACAAACTGGATGTCTTAAAATTTCTGACAAAACTGTGGTTTCACTAAGAAGGTCAGTCATTATTTGCAAGGGAGGGGATAAGTTGTGCCACATGGGGGTCGGGGACATCAGTGTCATTTCATCACGCAAACTCAAACGTCAGGTCCCAACTTTGAATTATACTTAGATAGTGAAACATTTCAGCTATGTCTCCTAGTTGTTTTCTTATCAATGTATCGGTTTAAAGTCCTCCTGTTTATAGTCATGTCCCATGCAACCTGATGAATGGACTTCCCATTTTTGGACCTCTCCCACTACTCTGTCCTCTGTCCAAACCCACAATAGAGTTGAAGCCTGTCTGTGTTCTATTTATAGAAACATGAGATGATGGTTTCTGGTATAAAATGCATAATGTCACATCATTTCAGTGATGCATAAGAATGCAATGTAAAATTACAGTAAAATAGCTAACTCAACTTCCTCCAGGTCTTCTGGCTCAAAATTACCACATCCCTGCCATTTTAACAAAATTGTGTCATCCAGCAGTAACAGTATAGCTTCATATTGTAACTTGACAAGATTTTCTCAAACCTGTCTGTAATTGTTCAG